TTCCTTCTTTCCCCTAGTGTAATCTTCAGCCATCAGAAGGAAGGTGTGATGGATTCAGTAAACAGGGCTGCTGGAAGACAGGCCAGCTGAGAAAGGAACATTCTATTTCGATTGCTCTAGTCATGTTCTTCTTCCCCCTTTGCTGAGCTGTTTATACCTCAGCTGTTGGCTTCTATGGTGATTTCTCTTACTCTCTAATCCTCTTTCTTAGTGACTAAAATCTCCTTCTGTTCATGCCCTGTTCCGAAGGCATTCTGAAGCATTTCTAATGAATGCTCACTTGGTTTTAATCACCCAGGAACTGAATGTGACAAGCTGCAGTGGTCCTGGGTTTACAGGAGACAAGGTCCTGCTCCATGCTGGGGCCCTTTGCACCAGATTGACAGCAGTGGACATGAGTTGGTCTGGAGCCACAGATGTGGGTGTGATGGCTCTCATACAAGGAGCTTCAAGGTAACGCACCAAGAGTTACCCTGCCATGCCTCCAATTAATTCACTGATAACACATTTTTGGAAATAACACTTCTTGCTCTTGTTATATGTAAGCCACTGTTTTGTTTTTTTTAAATTTTTTAATGTTGATTTATTTTTGAGACAGAGAGAGACAGAGCATGAGCTGAGAGGGGCAGAGAGAGGGAGAGACAGAGTCCGAAGCAGGCTCCAGGCTCTGAGTGGTCAGCACAGAGCCCGATGTGGGGCTCGAACTCGTCAACCGTGAGATCATGACCTGAGCCAAAGTCGGATGCCCAACCGACTGAGCCACGTAGGCACCCCAAGCCACTGTGTTTTTTTAATATTCTACTTATTTATTTTGAGAGATAGAGAGAAAGAGAGGCAGAGAGAGACGTAGAGAGAGAGAGAATCCTAAGCAGACTTTGAACTGTCAGCTCAGAACCCAATGTGGGGTTCAATCTCATGACCTGAGATCATGACCTGAGCCGAAATCAAGAGTTGGCGCTTAACTGACTGAGCCACCCAGGCTCCCCGCAAGCCACTGTTCTAAGTTCTATTTATGAATTATATTAACCCCTATGATGTAGGTGTTCTTGCTATTTTCTTCAATTTGCTGAGGAGAAAACTTAGGCAAATGAGATCAAGTAACTGGTCTAACTTCACACATCGAGTTAGGTAGTAGAGTCTGCATTGGAACCTAGAGTCTCATCACCCTCTGCCTTATATCTGTTTCCTGCAGAAAGAAACAGTGAGGACGGATTTAATGTTTGGCTGTACTCAAGCCATGATTTTTGTAAAGTCAGCCCTGTTAATATAAGTTCACAGCCAGGAGTGCCAGATTTCTAGATGGAGCAGAGTCCAGAGCAGGGATCAGAACACTTTACCTCTAAAGAGCAGGTAGTTTATTTTTAGGTTTTGCAGGCCATACGGTCTGTCATAACTACTCAACTCTGCCTTGGTAGGAGTCATACACAATATGTAAGCAAATTAACCTGGTCATGTTCCAGTAAAACTTTGTTTTCAAAATCAGGTGGCAGGTGACATTTGGGCCATGGGCCATAGTTTGTTGACCCCTAGTTGAGAGAAGTAGTTACAGTGTTATGAGTATGACTTTTTTGAGAATCAGATGAAAGTAATGGATTCCTTACCCATAATGAGCCACATAAACACGTGCATAAAACCTTTTACATATGTTGATAAGTATATTAATATATATAAATATGTGTATGTCTGTAGTATATGTAGGTATATGTCACCTGATACACATATGTGTATATTAATTGGTATGATATATTTACACTTACTAATATATTGCCTTGAACATTGATTCTTTTCAGAAAAATCAGAACATAATCTTTTCAAATAACTTATCTCATAAATATCTTTCATGCAAAAGTTAATTCCATCCCTGACAACCTGAAAAAGTTCCAAATTGCATAATTAAAGCATAAAGCAAAAATTAAATCTGCTCCAGTGAAACTCTATAAAGGCTGTTCCTGAATGCAAATATCATCTTTAACATCCTAATGGTTGTGACTTTTTGTTTTGATGGTAACAGAAGCTGAGAGCTGACAGCCCTGACTTGCAGAGGCACATAAATAGAATCAGAACTCTAGAAGGTCTCTTTATCAGATAATGGTTGATGGATATCAAGGCATTCTGGGTTTCCCAGAGGCTCTTAAGTTGAAATGATATTGCATTACTTCCTTTGTTCCTAAAGCAAGAGGTCACTGTGGCAAGGTTTTCATCATTGGTGCTGTTTATGGCAGCAAGAAAAGGATTACAGATCTACATTTACATTTTAAGGGTCACCTGAGTTTAAGAAACACATAAAAGAGTTCTGCAGTGTTTCTGATTATCTGCAGAGTTCTACTTGCAGAAGTACTCTGGTGATCGAAAGTTGTCATACTCCTTGAATCAGTCAGGAGAAGCTAGATTATGTTGTAACCAAGAACCTCCAGATATCAGGAGCTTAAAACAACAAAGGTTTATTTCTTGCTCATGTCCATCCTGGATGGGTTGGAGGCTCCAGTCCACAGCTACCCTCGGCTAAGACCAGGGCCCAGGCTAGAAGAGTAAGCACTGTCTGGAATCCTGGCAAACGTCACAGAAGAAGGAAAAGAGAACGTGGTGAAGCGTGCACCAGATCCTAACGCCACTGATTATATTTCATAGTCAAAGCAGTGAGCCCCACCTAATGTAGAATTGCAATCCGAGCACATTTCTAGAAGGAAAGAGAAAGCCAGACAATTTTGAACAGCCATCCTGATATGATAATTGACCTTTTCTAATCCCTTCTTCTAGAGTAGAATTATGGCCAAAGTAGTTTTTAGTTTTCCACCTGCCTCTTTAACCACCCAGTCCCTAGCTCTGATGAAGTTGATAACCCTTCCAGCAATACGCAAGGCTTCTTTCAGAATTTTTAATAGAATCTTTGATGTCAATATGTCAGATGCAGAAGTCATAACGGCTTTTCCATCCCAAGTAGCAAAACCAGATGTATTGTCAATCATCACAAGTGTAATTTCTACACACAGGGTCCATAAGAACAGTTTAAGAAATGTATTTTAGTATCATTTTGAAGATATCAATGTCTTTACTGGTTTCCCAAAAGGAGAAAGTGAGACAGGAATCCACTGTTGACGATGTCCCCAAGTATATAACAGATGAAAACCAGGAAATGGCTGCACTGAGAAATATCAATAATTTCATCCAGTTGCCTATGTAAGGAGAATAGAGCAACTTGCAACTCCTTCATGGCCTGCTTCAAAATTGCAGATGGCATGCCTGATGGGGAGGGAAATCTCTATCTCCAGAGCTATTGTCTTAGTATTCTTCCTTTGCTCCAGCCATAATGTAAGATACACATTTCTGTAACATAGGACTTTACTAATATTCCTTCCATCAGGCTTCTCAACATGAAAACTTTCCTTATAGGATGTTCTAAGATAAGAATTTTATATTGAGCCTTGCTTTTAGAAAGAATCCATACTGCTAAACTAATCTGGTGTCAGGTAAGATGCTTTTGTAGCTTTTTTGATTTTGTGCATCCAATGGGAAGGAATGTGTCATATAAAAAACATGGTTGCTTTTATGTCCCATTATATATGGTGGTAAATCTAAAATTAAAGGCTATGTAAGACTCAGTGTATTTTATTTCTTTGTTAATTTCTAGTTGAAGCCTGGACTGCTGTTGAGCATAGAGAATCTTTATAAAGGTCATGATGTCATTGTATGCTTTCTTTAATTTATAGAAAGCCATTCCTGACTTAATAACATGATGGTGATGATGGAAAGTATACTTAAAATGACTACACCCAGGAATATACCATAGCCCTTCCACAACCAGGTTCCTTGGACACAACCAAAGTTTGGATAAAATAATTCGAAATGAAAATATATTTTCTAAAAAGGCAAAATCAAAGTTACAGAAAAGAAATCCAAGAAATAAAGATAAATATTTGTGCCTGATTTATCGAGCCCTCCCCAAGTTGATAAACCAAAATTAAAGTGCATTGTTTACCAAATCAAAATTCCTCTTTAGATTTTTTAAAATTATTTTTTTCAATGTTTATTTTTGAGAGAGAAAATGTGTGTGTGTGTGTGTGTGTGTGTGTGTGTGTGTGTGTGTGAGAGAGAGAGAGAGAGAGAGAGAGAGAGAGAGAGAAAGAACAAGTAGGGGAGGGGCAGAGAGAGAGGGAAACACAGAATCTGAAGCAGGCTCCAGGCTCTGAGCTGTCAGCACAGAGCCCAAAGCAGCGCTTGAACCCATGAGCCAGGACATCATGATCTGTGCTGAAGTTAGAGGCTTAACCGACCAGGTGCCCTTCCTCTTCAGATATTTTGATGCTATTTGAATAAATAAAGAACTGCAACTGCAAGCTTTTGCTATGAAATTCTTCTTTTTAAATAGAGGCATTATTGAGATGTAATTTTTTTTTTGTAAACTTCCGCCTTCAAGAACTGTCCATTAATGGATGCCAGAATACAGATAAAGCCATTAGAGCTTTAGTGAAAAAAACATGGAAACAGGTAATAGTGATAAGCTTCTCATTTACATATACCTTACATTTATGTATCGCCTATCATTACACAGAGAGCATTCTATTGTCTTATTTGTATTATGTTATTTGGTGTTTCATCAAGCACTCATTTTCCCTATTTGTCAGTTGAATAAACTGAGGCCCAGGGCCACTAAGTGACATGCTAACTGGCACACAGTAAGATACAGAAGCTAGACTTTCCAGTTTCAAGCAGAGTGTTCTTTGTGTTCTGGAACAATTGAAGGAAAGATCTGGAAAACATTTTCTTCTCCTCTTGTTCAGAACCTCAAGGCTAATCACAAATAACTAGAGACTTTCCCCATCATGATTTAATGGTGAACTGTAAGAGTTAATACCATGCATTTACCCCACCATTGTGGAAAGATCACATGACTATAATTTCAGCAGCTGTCATTTCCCCACACTTTGGGGGAGGAGTTGCCCACCCACTGTAGTAAGATGACCAGGAGCAGATGGCATTGTGCGAAGGCACTGCAGACTCACAGGATAGGGCTGGATGAGGTTTGCTTTCTGTAACATGAAGGCTCACCAAGCAGGGGTACATGGAGCCCTCAGATAAGGTGTCTGGTCTCTCAGGGCGGCAGCTGCTGCTTCCACACCTACAGGAAACATTGAGAAAGAAGCTTCATGAATAGCAGGGCTGGCTTCTTCATATTTCTCGGGTGAGGTGATTCAGAGGATGACACATTTTTATTCCTCTGGTTTGAGTCTGCTTCTGATTTGTGGACATTCCAAAGTAGTCCGGGGAGTCCAGCCCAGTGTGAGACCAAGGTGCACGGGACTCTCTGCATAAACAGCTCCTGGACAAACAGAACTTTTATCTCGGCCACTCCCTGGGGAGAGAGGCTACTACCTTCTCTTCAACTTTTGTTTTTTTTTTTTTTTTTTTTAAATAAAATTCCCAATGTTACCAGCCTGGGAAAGTCTAATGAAGTAGTACATTAGATGTGATGATGTTTTAAAAACATGGCAAATGATGAATCTGATGTGAATTGGGAGTTTGATATTTTGTCAAGAATCTGTTTGAAACATCCTCACTCTGCTTAACTCTCTTCTTCATAATTTTATAAACCATGAGGCATAGGAATATGTTTAATATTGTGCTTTTGGAAAGACTGAGAGGCTCTAGATATTTGCTTAAGACTGTGGTTATTTTTGATACCTTAGACTTTCTACTTTATAAGAAGAAAAATATTCTATGAAACTGCTTCAAATCACTGATCAACTTTTTATGAAGAGAAAGTATTGGATGGATTATAATTTGTTTACAGAATATCTATCCTTTAACCTGTTGACATGTTATTTACTGTCTTCTCAAACCTTCTCTGTGAATCATTCTTTGAGTAGGAGGGGAAAAAATGGAATCATATAAGCCTGCTCATTAGTTATGTGAATTTAGGAAAGTTATACACTTTCTGAGTCCCAGTTACCTTATTTATAAAGTATGGGTCAAATGATTATCAGAGAGAGCTCCTATGAAAATTAAGGAAATGTTTACTAAATAAAAACAAAACAAAACAAAAACACCCACCTCGCAGTGACTGGTATTTAGTATGTCCTTCGTAAATGCCACTTTGTTTTATTCCAGCCTACATTGATTGTCCACTTCTCTGAATGCCTGTATTATAGACTGTTTATTCCCCAATATTTCTATATGATAACCTTGTCTCCTTAAGAAACTTTTAAAGCAAGACTACATTTTGCACCTGTGGGATCTGACACACTACACAAATAATTTGGGAAAACACCATGAATCCTCCCAAGGTCAATAGCCTGTGAATTGTGTAATAGTTCATTTGGTAGAAAAACACACCAAGGAGCGTGACCCCTGTGATTGAAAAAAAAAAAAAAAGGGCAGCTGGCCAATAAAAAGCCTCATCAAATTGAATTCTGATTGGCAAAGTGTATGAGTAAATTAAGAAGGTCAGCATTTCTTACATAAGTTGGCAGCTGGCTCTGGTTTCTCTGAATTATCTCAAGTTTCTTGAATCCTTGTCCTTGTACAATTTTGACAGAAGTCAACATTAAATGGAAAGATAAAACTAGAAATGAAGTCTTGGCAGAGAATTCCAAAATGGTCCCTGTTGTTTCAAATTGCACCTTTGCTCCTTCCGGAATATTAATCATTTGGTTTTGAAAAATTCCAGTATATTGTCCTTGTTTCATTGTTATAGCTATTACTGTTTGGATACGTTTGCTTTTAAGTGTTATTAATAAGTTGTTTTAAATTTTTTTTAATGTTTATTTTTGAGAGAGAGAGAGAGAGAGAGAGAGAGAGAGAGAGAGAGAGAGAGCATGAGTGGGGGGAAGGGCAGAGAGAGAGGGAGACACAGAATCTGAAGCAAGCTCCAGGCTCTGAGCTGTCAGCACAGAGCCTGACGTGGGGCTCGAACTCACGAACCGTGAGATCATGGCCTGAGCTGAAGTTGGTGCCTAACCAGCTGAACCACCCAGGTGCCCATAATACATTGTTTTTTAATAGTTGTAGCTTTTTTTGTCTTTAACATTTTAGCAAATACTTTCTCACATTATTGAAAACTTGCGATTAACATCAGTTTAATGTTTGCAAAATTTATTAGCCATCTCTGAAGTGTTGAGCAGTTAAAGGTTTCTAATATTTGAAAGTAAATACTGCTCTAACGATACATCTTTCTGCATGGAGATTCCTACAGCTCTTTTATGACTATGAATTTAGGCTAGAATATGTACAGGGAGATTTCTAGGTCTAACTGCATGAAAATACCTTAAAGTCTTGATTCACAGGGCACCTGGGTAGCTCAGTCAGTTAAGCTTCTTCCCACTCTTCATCTCGGCTCAGGTCATGGTCTCACAGTTCATGAGTTCAAGCCCCACATCTGCCTCTGTGCTGACATCATGGAGCCTGCTTGGGATTCCCTCTCTCTCTCCCCCTCTCACTGCCCCCTCCTCTGCTCATGCTCTCTCTCTCTCTCTCTCTCAAAATAAATAAACTTAAAACATTTTTAAAAATTCTTGATTCACATATCCAGATGATTTCAAGGATTGAATTTATGCTCCATCAACAGTGGAATAGAATGCCTGTTCATCATACTCCTGTCAGTCACTGTTCCTTGGAGTGGGGTAGAATTGAGGGGCAGGGACAAAGTGAACATCACTGATTTAATAAGGAAAAAAAGATGTTGCATGCTTACTTTAATACTCCTGTCTTTGCTTGGTTTTGTATTCATATGTTAGCTATATGCATTTCTTCAATTGTAAATTTTCCATTCAAGTTTTATGGAAGGCATAATGATTTTTGTAACAAAGACTTTATATCCATTTCTTTTAAGATAACAGAGCTCTTTTCTCTCTAGATATTAATTATATCTATACTTTCTTTTATTTCTTATATATTTGTTGAAAATTGACTCTTAAACCCATAGGAAATTTTAAATGCAATGGTTATTTTTTAAATATAAAAACAAAGCATTTTTCTTAAATTGAAACATACAGAATTGAAGAAAATAAAAATTGCCCTTAATTTTACTACCAAGTGAGGTGTTCACATCTGATCAATTTCTTTCAGTCTTTTTTCCTGTTTGTTAAAAAAGTAATTACACAAAACCATGATTACAAGGATAGAGTTTTGTACTATTTATTTTCACTGACTACATTGAAAGAATATTCTCAATTCATTAAATATCCTTTGAAAGAATAATTTTTGATGGTTGCATAAAATTAATGTACAAATTCACTAACATATTTGAATGGTTTCTGAATGTTTGCTATTATATATGATATGATGAAAAATCTTAGGATGGAGACTTAGAGATGAAATTACTGAACATAAGTATTGCAAAATAGCTTTCCAGAAAGTGGTAATAGTATATATTCCAGCAGAATGTAGAAGTGTTGCTCTAACATTGTTTTGCTGGCATTGAGCATTATTATAATTTTAAATACAAATATTTGCTTCTTTTATATAATTAAGTCATGCTTTATCATTTTACTTTGTTGTTCTTTGATAGCAGAGTTGAACATTTAATAGAACATTTGTTTCCCAAAAAAAGAACATTTATCAGAAGTTTATTATTTGTTTCTATTCTTCTGTGAAATATATGTTTATATTTCAGAGGTTTTATTTCTTTTTTAAGAACTCTCAATATAGAGGATATTAACCTTCTATCATAGCTATTGCAAGCATTTTTCCAGTTTTGCATTTACATTTAAAAACTTCTATGTTCAGAATAGAGAACCCAGAAATGGACCCACAAACATATGACCAACTAATCTTTGACAAAGCAGGAAAGAATATCCAATGGAATAAAGACAGTCTCTTCAGCAAATGGTGCTGGGAAAACTGGACAGCGACATGCAGAAGAATGAACCTGGGCCACTTTCTTACACCATACACAAAAATAAACTGGAAATGGATGAAAGACCTAAACATAACACAGGAAGCCACAAAAATCCTCGAGGAGAAAGCAGGCAAAAACCTCTTTGACCTCAGCCACAGCAACTTCTTACTCAACACATCTCCAGAGGCAAGGGAAACAAAAGCAAAAATGAACTACTGGGACTTCATCAAGACAGTGGAGGAAACAATCAGCAAAACTAAAAGGCAACTGACGGAATGGGAGAAGATATCTACAAATGACATATTAGATAAAGGGTTAGTATCAAAAATCTATAAAGAATTTATCAAACCCAACACTCAAAAAACAAATAACCCAGTGAAGAAATGGGCAAAAGACATGAATAGATACTTCTCCAAAGAAGACATCCAGATGGCTAACAGCCACATGAAAAATGCTCAACATCACTCATCATCAGGGAAATACAAATCAACAGCACAATGAGATACCACCTCACACCTTTCAGAATGGCTAAAATTGACAATTCAGGCAATGACATATGTTGGCAAGGATGCAGAGAAAGAGGAGCCCTTTTACACTGCTGGTGGGAATGCAAACTGGTATAGCCACTCTGGAAAACAGTATGGAGTTTCCTCAAAAAATTAAAAATAGAACTACCCTATGACCCAGCAATTAATTGCACTACTAGGTATTCCAAGGGATACAGGTATGCTGTTTCAAAGGGACACATGCACCCCCAATGTTTATAGCAGCACTATCTACAAGAGCCAAAGTATGGAAAGAGCCCAAATGTCCACTGACTGATGAATGGATAAAGAAGATGTGGTACACACACACACACACACACACACACACACACACACACACGATGGAGTATTACTTGGCAATCAAAAATAATGAAATCTTGCCATTTGCAACAACGTGGAGGGAATTAGAGTGTATTGTGCTAAGCAAAATTAGTCAGTCAGAGAAAGGCAAATATCATATGACTTCACTCATGTGAAATTTAAGATGCAAAACAGATGAACATAAGGGAAGGGAAGCAAAAATAATATAAAAATGAGGGGGACAAAACATAAGAGACTCTTAAATACAGAGAACAAAGTGAGGGTTGCTGGAGGGGTTGTAGGTGGGGGGATGGGCTAAATGGGCAAGGGGCATTAAGGAGAACACTTGGGATGAGCATTGGGTGTTATATGTAGGGGATGAATCACTGGATTCTATTCCTGAAATCATTATTGCACTATATGCTAACTAACTTGGATGTAAATTTAAAAAAAAATTAAAAAACACTTCTATGTTCAGAATTATAAAAACTATTTAGTTATATTAATCTCCTTTATGTTTTCTTCCATTGTGTTTAGTTTAAAAAAAGGCTTTGAAACCTGTGAAATTATTTGCTTTTTCTATTT